AGCAGTAAAAAAAGAACTTTGGGACAAGTTGTCCTGTAATGCCAAACTACACAATACAACCAGGGCCCCGAAGCCCAAAGCACTGACTCTCTTTTCTCACAAACAAGGTTCACAGGACTCTTCCCTTGCTGATACTGTTGCCTACCAACTACAGCAATGAAAACCTTTGTCAAGCTGTCAGTTCCATAAAAGCAGACGTTTGCCAGGCCTTTTGAAACTCTACCTGTTATTCTACTGAAATCTGTGCTTATTGTTGTTTTTCATTGTCTTCTTCATCTCATTGTTATACACGTTAATGTAGTAGGGTGACTCTAAAGTTATTTTTTTTTATTTGATGAAGCTGACCTCTGTTTAACATCACTGCAAATATAATAATTTAGAAACAAAGACAATGTAAGTGTGAAAGAGGAATGGACTGAATGCAAATGTGTGTTCTTACTTATTCAAAAGGCTATTTATTGTTGGGATGATAAATGCCATATGTACAGTGACAAGGGGACAGATTTTATCCATTTGTAAGCAGTATATTGATGTTTGTAAGCTGGGTAATTGGATATAGAAATAAGTGTGGAAAAGCAAGGAATCACATAAAGCGTGGATGAATGGTGAGAGCCAAGACTGTCTGCCAGCGTTCATGGGTGTGTACATCATCACTGAGGTGTTGATGGGCCCTAATGCAGAATAAGGAGAGCCAATCAACTCCTATCTATCCACTCTGCCAGGCTGACACATCGCAGGGATACTTCAAGGCCAGCACATTGCCACATTCTGCTGACAAATCATTACATTAGACATGCCACGAAGGAGGAAGATAATAAGATTGAGTTACAGAGTTTTAGATACATCATGAACAACCCTCGCTTCCTCAATTCCTTCCAAACTAACCATCCCTTCCATATATCAACGTCTGGCTAGGCCAGGGGTGGGCAATCCTGGTCCTCAAGGGCTGCTGTCATGCATGTTTTACTTGTTCCTCTGATTCAACACACCTGATTAAACTCCCTTCTTAAGTTATGTCTAAGCTAATCAACCATTCATTTAAATCAGGTGTGTTGGAGCAGAGAAACCTTTACAACATGTAGGATAGTGGCCATCGAGGACCAGGATTGCCCACCTCTGGGATAGACTGTCATGAATTAAACTTCAATGCTTTTGTAGTAGTTTATTTCCCTGAAATGGTACAAGAACAGTTAAAACAGACATAAATATCTAGTTGGGTTCAACACTTTCCATGAAAACAAATGAGCTTTGTGAAACTGATTGGAAAAGTTTTTTTTTTTTTCTCCCAAGGTTGGGTCATTTGTTTTTAGTAACAACTTGTAAACAAAGCTGTAAGACTAAGCAAGTAACCAAATAACTGTTGTAATACAAATTTGGTGGTTTTGTGAAGCACTAGCCAAAAAACATAATTATGAACTGCTGTCAGGCAGTGTGTACTTTAAATGTCAACAAAGATAAATACATTAAACTAAGCACAAAATCACTTGTTGTCATTAAGAAGCTTCATTTATTCTGTCTTACGTAAACAACTTGCAAACTGACGTTTTATTTATTAGCTAAAATATGTCATTTATGCTATTTATTTATAAATCTTGAGTATTTATCACATCCTTTTAACTATATTTCTCACAGTCCCTTTGGGTGCCAAATAAAGTCTGGCTCAATGAAGATGTGAAATGACTGATTGACAATTGTGGTTTCAAAAATATATATTGTTTTCTCTTGACTAGCACTAAAGGTGATTCCTAATGGAACTATCCAACCACTGATAAAACATTGTGATATGCTTGCTTGATTTAGATGCATTCACCAGCTCCTAACATTAACAAGATGGAAAATAATTTATTTATTTTATTTTATAATTTGCCAAGCGATCTATTTGCACTCGTTTGTATGTGTGTACATCTGTCTATGTAGATAAATGGTGATTGGCATGTGGCTGAAAGTGGGTGGTGCGGGGTGATTAATCAGTGTAATGAGTGTAGATGAGCGGTGTGCAGATGGAGCCCATAGTCAGGACTGTGTCACACAGCAGGGGGTCTCTTTGCTCCCCTTCTGAGCCTCTATAGTTTTAACGCTGCCTGTAACTGTATTTTCCTGGCAYGTGTCGCTTCCTCCTCTGCCTAATTCAGCTCATTTCTGCATCATTTGCCTTTATAAGCACCTCATTCTTATTTCACCAGGATAGAAGTATACAATTAGGAATGTTTCTGTGTAAATAAAATTTACTCATGGTGGTTTTGCTTTTCTCTCTTGCCATACATAATCCTAAAATGATATATTTGTGCTTTCAGTCAAAAACATTGGCAAAGTCTTTAAATAAAATGCAAAAAATAACCATGAAAACAATACATATGTCCTCACTTTTCATTGACATATATAGCACAATTGGGTATAAACTAAAGCAAATACAGCCTTTGAAACAATGAAAGTACCTCATCAATATTTAATAAAATGTGTCCTTAAATACTCACATATGCAATTTACAAAAAAACAAAAAATKACTAAATGATAAACTGCATTTTTGAAAAAGTAGAACATCTATTTATGAATGTGTCTTTTCCACCTCCACGATAATAACTGGAGAAACAATATTTTGTTCCAAACCTTAAAAGACACACACACACACACACACACACACACAC